TTCTCCGAACGTAACGCAGGAACTTGAGATAGAGGCCTTTACATGTACTGTGCTTCGATGTATTAAAGACAAAAAATAAAAAAAAAGGTTAAAAATAAAACTCCTTCGCTGAGATCTTTAAGGGATTCTATTATTGCCAGATTCTTTGGTAGCACAGCTCACATTAGTACAGGCCTCCGCTAGTCTTACGATCGAGATGGCACGGCCACTCTGCTCGATATATATGTATAACTGTTATTGTATATGCTGGATGCGCATCAGAAATAAGCGGATAAAGATCCAAGTGAGAAAGACAGTATGATATGATAAGGTTGGGATAGAATTGGGAAGAAGAACGAGAGAGAGAGAGAGAGCTTGTGTATGTATGTTGCGTGTGTGTGCGCGATTACGCGCATTTGTATGTGTGCTTGCGATTGTGCGGATGTATGCGTGTATCTCGAAGGCAAGTAGGCAGGAAAAAATATAATTAATATAGTCACTGTTATGCTTTAATGTATTTCTAGCGATTTTGCCTATTTCAATTAAAGAAAAGAAGTCATGTGTTACTAGTTAGCGAACCCATATATCTCGTTTACTATTGCTGATTATTATCTTCTTTTAAGGCCGGTAGTAGCCGTTTTAGCTACCATTGTTTTCTTTTTTTATATATATATATATACAATGTAACTGGAAAAAAAAAGAAAAAAAAATTTTGTCCGATGCCATCTGTAGACCATCAATGAATGTTGGCAATTCGACTACTAGCTTTTTAATCGATCTGGATAATATATCGCAGTCAACGTATCTGAGTCTGTTTTTAATTTTTAGTGATCTGTGACACATTATTTCAGGCCATTGAAACATGATATCGTAATTTTAATTGTGGCGATTCTGAAATATACACCTTAACAACAAACGCGTTCAGTTTTCTAAATCGTTCGCGAGATCTCGTTTACATGATGATATCAAAAAGTTGTCTCATCGATTGTGGATGTTATTACAACTGATAAACGAAACATATATATAATGTTACTTCACTATACTACAAGTAACTGTAACGATCGACATCTTTTGTCATGACACTGTAATTGTCAGTGCTCCAAATATTGTTTCACGGTCGTTATTATTATCGCTACAAGTATCATTCAGAGCGCGTATAGCTCTCAAAGTTCCAAATTTGACTGTCCATTTTTTATATATAATTTTCTCATGGCTATTTAGAATTCTGCGATTTTTCGCGGAAATTTTTTTTTTTTTTTTTTTTTATAAGGCTTCTCTTTTGGTGCTTTTATGTCACAATATTATGTTAAAGTTTGTTGAGATGTTCTCATTTGAGAATCACAATAGTTTATTATACCGATTCGAAAATACAGTTTACTTCCTTCGTAATTGCCAGAAGAGATGACAAGTGTAGACATGTACTCATCTGATTGTCATCATTACTACGCGCGCGTTTAGTGTATGAGTTTAATAGATAGTAATTTTAACGTCTCTAGTTATTATGAAATTTTCTTCAATAATTCGTACATAAACGACTTATCTTTTTTCTCCAGCCATCTATCTCTTTCTCTCTCTTTCTTTCTCTATCTATCTTTGAATACCAATGTTGCATTATATCAAAACTAAGAAATCATGACCGTATAATTCGATACAAAAAATCGACTACTGGCGATGACTATCGCATTGGATTCCATTTGTAATAACATCTAAGAAACGGAGAATAAATAATATCGGTTGAAGAAAATTTTATTTGAGAAATGACGCTTTTCTCGAAATTTTCGAAGTGTAGAATGTGATTTCAATTATATTGTAGAAAGACAAACTGTATTAATCAGAATATGTTCGTAATATTATTGCATTCGTAAAATACTTTTTGTTGTTTTGCCAAAAAGTATTAAATAATGCAACAGAGTTCCCTGGAATTTCAAGTAACCCAATTCATTTATTGTCACGGTGGCAGTTGTCTTGAGGGAATTGAGTCTGATAAAAATTACATTAAATTGTTGTGGTGTATTTATTTGGATACCGTCTGCAAAAAAAGTAGCAAATATTTTTTATATTCTATAAAATTCGTATATACTGTCGATATATTCAACATTGATTCATTTGATGGTAAATATAAGTGATTGTTAACAACATTTATAAACCGTATATGAGTAACGAATCGGAAATAAATCTATCTTCACTTATTTGTAGATATTGCAAATGTAGAAAAGTAAAGAATGCGAGGTACATTGACTATGCAATCAAATGAGATTACATTACTGATTTCGTTAGCGAAAGAATATATAATATCCGGCATAAGCGTACAGAATTTCTTGTAACTTCTGTAACAAAAAGATTTTTATTTCACTTTAAATTACGAAACTTTTAATCAAACGTGTAAAATGACCGAGTACTTTTAAATGTTTATAGTTATACATATAATTAAATAATTATTTCGCGCACGAATACTCTTGAAAATAATTTCACGTTGATAAAGTTTTGAAGTTTTGATTAAAAATGAGTAAACTAACGATTGGTTTGTTTCACGTGCTAAATAATGCATAAAACAATTTAATATTTGCAAAATCTTGGAAAGCACGTCAAACAGAGAGTTCTTGTGAGAGGGCTTAAAGACTGATTAGGTAAAATGAGAAATAACAATCGATAACTTCAAGACAAATGTGAAATGTCACTGAATATACATTTAAGTTTATATGAGAAAAAGTAAAAATCCTTCTTTATTACAATTGTATATCGAATTATTAGCTGCATATTTATTCAAGAATGAAGAAATCGAAAATATCTTTGTCCAAGAAAGTTGAGTATTTGAGAACAAATATATTTATCAATGACAATTTTATTGTAATATTTCATTGTCACAGTATCAAAACATATTGATATCTATTTACGCGCGTAACGTATTAATGATATTGTGTACTGCGCTTATATATAAAATTAGGAATTTAGTTATTTACAACTATGTTGCAATAAAAATAAAAATACAAGATTTCAAACAGACGATACCATATATATATAATGATTTCATAAACATAAAAGCTGACATATTGTGATGTACACATTGAATAATCATTATATACACAATAGCAGCAGAATTGAATACATATTAAAAGAATCTCAAGCGAAAATTTTAGTTGCGTTATTAAATATTGATACATTCTCTTCCAAAAAATACAATCTCCATTTCAAGGTTTTATCTTATTGTTAAAATGTTTTAAAGTATTGATGTAATATATAATTGAAATACTCTCTTTAAAGTATATATTTCAGTAATTCAAACGTCTAATAATTCTATTATGTCCAACCAGAAAGATTTAATCTATATATTTATTGGTACAAAATGAAGCTTGCAGGAATTTTACTCATAACTTTTATCAAAATACATATTATCTACAATCGTAAAAAGGAAACAAAAAGAAGACATTAAATGTTAAAGTCAGCAGCGACAGTTGTATAAACTTAATAAAAGAAAATAAACAGGCACACAAAAAAAATTAATTACCATTCTCATATATGATGAAATAATACAATGCTGCATGTCATCTTATATATCTTTTATTAACAATAAATTTTATATATAAATCGAATAATACCATTGTAATATAACAAATTCTTTCAAAAAATATGCTTAAAAACTGTCCTTTTTTTTTGTACATGGGAAGTTGTACCTTTTTTATTAATTGCTGTTTCTATTGTTCCATGACTATAATAGTAGAATTATTTTTGTAAAATTTGCAACAAATTAAAACAAATGTTTGCAAATGTTATATCCTGCAAATACAATATTTTATATAAGAGCAATATATAAAGATCATAATCTATAAAAATTATAATAAATTTATATCAAAATCAATTATATACATATAAATTAAATTGCATACTACTGAATATAATGGAAGTCTTCTTTCATGATACTATGACTAATAAAAATATATATTACTACTTGACACAAGATGCAAATGTTTGTATATATAAAATTATACTTACCACTTCTAACACATTTGGAGTAATTACAGCTTATCATAAGGTCTCAAAGTGACTTCGTCTTCTAGCATAAGCTCCCATACAAGCAAAAAATCCAACAATTCCGATGATTAGACCCAGAATTAATGCTAGAGTATCGCCAAAGTCAAAACTATTATAAGCCATTGCAGTAGGAAAAGTTCCCAGAAAAGCAAGTATAAAACAAAACCACATCTTTCTTATGGAAATAGATGAAGATGTGGAAATGTTGAATGTAAGATTGCTTTAATGTTACTGCACTGTGGAATTACTAACACTCGAATTGTCTGTTATGCATCATATGCATTTCTAGTCCAATGCAACGAGACACGCATACCTATATGTCAAATTGATAAACATTTCAAATACTTTCTCCAACTCAGATTTCGAAGAGTAAACTTGCTTAATATGTATTCATGTGTGTGTGTTTGTGTGTGTTGTGTGTGTGTACATGTACGTATAAACTATTAAATAAATACCCAAACTATTAAAAATTTGTCGATTTTTACTATTTAAAAAATTACATTTTTTTTCTTGTTTGGTGACTATGTTATCGTGCTTTCAGTCTTCCCCGAGAATATTTATAGCCATTTGATACACTGTCCTTTCTTTCTAATATCTCTTTTCTCTTAATCTTTCCTAAACTCTACTCCTGAATGTTCCTTGAAAAATAATTCCAAAATATCCTCCAAAAAATCACGTTCGAATAGGTTCAAACATGCTATGTACTACAAAGCAGAGAGTATAAACTCCCTCTTGTAAAAATTAGCCCCCGTTTTTAGTCGCGTCCTCTGAGATAGTCTCCGGATGTAGCCGAACTAAACGAGTGACGTCATGCGGAGTGGAGATACGGCATCGCGCGAGTTACCGAATATCTCATATAATATAGTTTCTTCATATTCTAACTCTCATCATCTTATGAAAATAGTAAAAGATATACATTTATACACATTTATACATTTATACATATGCATATATGCATGCACACAACTGTATACATATATATGTGTTTGCTTTGCTTGCTATACGTCTGTCATTCATACTTCAATTGGCGCGCATTCCCACTCCGTATGACCCGTTTAGTTCGACCACATCCGAAGACTATCTCAGAGGGCGGTAAGTATAGGTAGTACCTAGAGATCCTTGGTCTGTTCTTTCGCTTTGCACTGCTGCACTGGTACAATAAGTTAGAGTAAGACAAATATATATTTTTCTCACTTTAACTTACCAGTGCAGCAATGCAGAGCAAAAGAACAGATCTCCTGTAATATGAGATCGGACACCATATGTCAACGTTTTGATTGGCTGCGCTATGTTTAGGATACGCTTCCGGTTAGGATCATTAAGGCGATGGCCTTTTTGTGTGATGACACACAAAATTACATAGACGCATATGCATAACATAAGATCGTATGGACCAATGAACATCGAATATTAAACATCAATCATCAATATGACAACTTAATATTCGATGCTCATTGGTCCATACGATCTTATACTATGTACAGTATGTTTGATAAGAGCGTGCACGGCAAAACTTTTTCCTCGAAACCGTTAGAGGGGGGATATGAACGCGAGCCAATAGCGGGGCTCTTCTCCCAAGATGCTTTGTCTAGAAAGCCTTAGTTATCGTTTGACTTTCGTCACAAAAGGGCGTATTTCAACATGAGTGCCGCGTACGCATCACGTTAGAAGCTGTGTTTCTATGTTCGCATCCGAAAGGACCAAAAATGTCGCGCGGAGCGGCTGCTAAGTATATGAAGAAGTCTAATAGCGAATTCGGTAGCTTGCACTAGTGCGCACTGAGTGCGCATTAAGGCTTGTTTACAGTACATTCTTATATTTAAGATCGTGTCTTAAATACATATTTAAAAACATTTTAACTAATCAAATGATTCGTACGGATGTTATACATATCATATTATGGTTAAAAATATTTGAGAATTTATTTGAGAATTATTTAAGACAATCTTTAAATATAATAACATACTATGAACAAGCCTTAGTGCGCACTCAGTGCACACTAGTGCAAGCAACCGAATTCGCTATAAGGCGTTTGTGAGTAAGTGGGTGAAACGTTATTCCGAGGTCAAAAACGTTGATGACTTGCCGGATCGTGGCTCTGTGCAGAAAACGACGAAAAAGGAGGACAAAATGATTTTACGGGTGTTTGAGAAGAATCCTTGTTTATCATTGCGTGGCGGGCAAGCGGTTTTACTTAAAAAGGGTCTAAATATATCATGTCATACTATAAGAAGACGTTTACTGGCTCATAAAGTGAAATTTCGAAGCACGATAACGAAACCGTTGCCCGTTGAAAAACACGTCGAAAAAAGACTTGCTTGGGCAAAAGAAAATTTGGACCGCTATTGGGGCAACGTAATTTTTTCAGATGAAGCTTCGTTTTGGGCAAAGTCTTCTATCAGACGTGTCTGGTCTACCCAGGCCAATAGACTCATCGAGCGGACCGTTAAACATCCGGTAAAGGTGCACGTCTGGGGCTGTTTCTCAAAACAGGGATTTGGCACTTTACACATCTTTACACAAAATTTGGATGCTGCTAAAATGGTCCAAATATATGAGAGAGCTTTATTACCATCTGCCCAAAGGTGGTTTACGAGGAAAAATGAAAATTGGCTACTGCAAGAGGACAATGATCCGAAACATCGGAGTAGACTTTGTACTGCGTGGAAACAAGAAAATGACGTTGACGTACTGGATTGGCCTTCACAGTCGCCAGATGCAAATCCAATTGAAAATGTTTGGGCGCTTATAAAGTTTAAGCTCCGAGGAAAGAAAATATGGACCGTCAAGCAGTTAATTCGACAGATTCGATTTATATGGAGATCTTTGTCTGAAGATTATGCTGTAAAATTAGTAGAAAGTATGCCTCGGAGATGCCAGTCAATTATTGATAATGGAGGCGACTGGACAACTTAATAATAAAGCATCGCAGTCTGTATCATGCATAATGTGTACAAATTTTTTCAATTTATGTATTATCCTAAGTTTGCCGTACAACTGCCGCTCTTATCAAACATACTGTATATGCGTTTATGTAATTTTGTGTGTGATGGCCCTTAAGCCCGTATCAGACTACCGACTGCACAGGCCGACCCGACTGCCGACTACGACTGCCGACTCTCAATGGACCAATCACAGTGAGGCGCCGACTGACTAGATCGGCCGATTCGCATTTAGACTTCAGTCTATTTTTCGAGTCAGCGACTCGAGTCGTAGCCAATCATATAGTAGTTCATATGATAACGCAACTATTTTCTTCTTTCTTCTAATATTTTGAGGTTTCTTAAAAGAAAATTTTATATTTCTTGACATATATGCCATTATTTTACTATCACACAGAACTTAACCTAATGATAATGGGTGCATTCAGCAAACTCAACAGTTGTACAACAGTTGAGCAATACGTCAATGTAATTGGTCTGGATTTAGGGATCTAATAGTAAGAACCAATAATCGCTAATTGCTCACTGAGCGCTTTTTCCGCTGAACGCGCTTATTTATTGCACTTTTTGTTCTCTAGCAGATGTCACTAGTACAATCAGTCGGCGGCAGACATCAATAAGTATTGGTTTGTTCGCGTCGCATGCCCCAACGTGCTCCTACTCGTTCTAACGCACACTAGCACGTCACGCGGACCAATTAGAGTACGTTAGAGCGAGTAGGAGCACGTTGGAGCATGCGACGCGAACAAACCTTATTATTGACCGACTGGAGTCGGCAGCAGTGGGTGCGTTCAAATTCCCTACCCGAATGCACTCTAATACTAGAAGTTCTATAGTATATGTAACATATATTATAGTGTTTCTAGTAATAGAGTGCACCCGGATGAGAAATCTGAACATAGCCAGTGCTGGGAGTTCGGGATATATTTTCGCGCACGCGCATTGAGCAAACGCTGTGGTAACCTCAGCGCTGTGTCTATTTTAAGATATCGTAAGACCTCTCATCTAAAAGAAAATATGAAGTGATTGTAGGGAGAAAAGAAAGTTTGTGGGAAAAAACAGAATACTGTTCATGAGTAAAAATAAATATATTTTTTATTTTGTAATTTCTGCAGCCAACCAATCATTGAAAATATTCATATTTAACCATGCATATTGAAATTTTCTTCTCGCACATTTCCTCTTCTTTTCCTCGATGCCATTTGATGACGAAGGCAGTTGTTGATCCATTTCTTTCTTCAATACGGCACTTTTTTTTTAATTAACTTAATAATTGTACTTTTTTTATCACAAAACCACTTTATATTAAAATTGCACTTTTTTATCATATTTTATTTATTATAAATATATAATATATATACATATTATATTATCACATTTTTTTCACACACACAGCTACACTAATTATTATAACTATATTAATTATGCTAATTTATTATTGTAACATTTCACTAAATCTAACCTAACCCTAACCACTCGCGGGCAAACAACACAGACAAACGGCCGAGTATTTTATGTATGTCCCCTAAAAACCCTCTACTTGTGCCTAACGCCGTCATTGGAAATTGCTTACGTCGAGCTGCTATGTTATCTCACACATGCGCAGAAAAGCTCCTGTCAGCTAGAAAATATCTCGAACTCCAAGCACTGGTCGGCAGTCGTAGTCGGTAGTCGAGTGGGCCTGTACAGTCGATAGTCTGATACAGGCTTTACAGGCAGCATAGCACAATTAGCAATATAGTAGTATTAAGCTGATATTTCACGTGTCGTACGACAAGCTTTTTGGATACGTTCATTGGTTGACGAACAGAAAACCTAGAAATACTCTATTCGCCAACCAATAAAAATATCCGAAATGCTTGTTGTACGACACGTGAAATAGCACACTTAGGGCCAGCGCACGAATATTGCTGTAGTTCCTTACGCCATCTTACGTGATAACTTAGGTTACGTGAGACGTAGGGTGCTATTTCACATGTACGACAAGCTTTTCGGATACGTTTATTGGTTGACGAATAGAGTATTTCTAGGTTCTCTGTTCGTCAACCAATGAACGTATCCAAAAAGCTTGTCGTACGAAAGAGCGTCCCGATTGACCACGGTACGATTGGACACAACCAACCGATGAAAAGAATTATCTAGTGAATTACTAGGTCGAACCAATCATTACAATCTGTGTCCAATCGTATCGTGGTCAATCGGGTCCCACCCGTCGTACGACACGTGAAATATCAGCCGTAAGTTGAACGTACGGCAACGCACGAAAACGTTACGTTACGAAAGAATATATATATTCATGACAACTCAATAATGTCCGATAAATCGAGTAGAGTTAAGGCCATTGCACGTAAAAAAATTTTACGTAACCGTAAGGTCATAAGAAAACTGATCAATCAGAGTTGATTATTCTCCTTGCGTTCGAGGAATAATCGACTGTGATTGGTCAATTTTCTCACGATCTTATGGATACGGTTAAAATTTTTCTACGTGCAAAGGCCCTTAGGGTAGTACAGCGGATGTGTAAGAATTAAGAGTATCAGGTAACATAGTTTTGTAAAATATATAACAATAATATTACGAAACAATAAGTTGTTACATGAGTTGTTTTAGAAAAATTAGAAGCACTAAATTAATTTATGAAAAGGTATCATGTATTTGTGAAAAATCCAAAAGTAGAAAACAATTCTTCTAATCTATTATTAACCTATTATTATTAAATATTTCACAAATACATGATACCTTTCATAATTTAATTTAGTGCTTTTAATTTTTTTAAAATATAATAAATTATTGTTTCGTAATATTATTGTTACATATTTTACGAAATTATGTGATCTGATACTGTTAATT